ACCCCAGTTAAGAAACACACAAACCCAACCAGCAAGGATGACTCAACAGCAGCTGAGGTTGTTCATGGAAGGAGGTAAGAGTCCAGTCACCTGTGTATACTGATGTAGAGCACAGCTACCTGGATCCATGCACTGCCTGGGAAGCCTTGTTACAGGAGTAAGCTGTTATTTCCTTTTTCTTGGTAAAAATCTTCTTAATATCTCTTTCTACAATGACTAAAAATCACTGAAGGCAGAGAAAAGGTTTAAAACTGTGTAACTCAATTATCTTCAAAATAGATTACTATTTCCTTAATGTAGATTCCAGTCTAGTTCAACATATTAATCAAGGGACAAAGTGTATCCTCAGCAAGTTCCCTGATGATACCAAACTGGCAGGGGTGGTGACACCCCAGAGGGCTGTGCTGCCATCCAGTGTGACCTGGACAGGTTGGAGAGCTGGGCAGAGAGGAACCTCATGAGGTTCAACAAGGGCAAGTGTAGGGTCCTGCACCTGGGGAGGAAGAGCCCCATGTACTAATATAGGTTAGGGGTGGACCTGCTGGAAATCAGCTCTGTGAAGAAGGATCTGAAAGTCCTGGTAGATAGTAAATGATCCATGAGCCAGGAATGTGCCCTTGTGGCCAGGAGGGCCAAGGGAATCCTGGAGTGCACAAGGAACAGTGGCCAAGAGGTGGAGAAACCTCACCCTACCCCTCTGCTCTGCCCTGGGGAGGCCACAGCTGGAGAACTGGGACCAGTTCTGGGCTCCCCAGTTCAGGAGAGACAGGGAATTGCTGGAGAGAGTCCAGGGAGGGCAACAAAGATGATTGAGGGGTTGGAGCATCTCCCTGATGAGGAAAGGCTGGGAGAGCTGGGGCTGCTCAGCCTGGAGAGGAGAAGCTGAGGACAGACCTGATCAGTGCCTGCAAGTATCTCAGGGTGGGTGCAGGAGGATGGAGCCAGACTCTGCTCAGCAGTGCCCAGGGACAGGGCGAGGGGCCACGGGCACAGGCTGGAACATGGGGAGTGACATGGAAATAGGAGGGAAAACTTCTTTATGGTGAGGGTGACAGAGCCCTGGGACAGGCTGCCCAGGGGGCTGTGGAGTCTCCTTCTCTGGAGACATTCAAAGCCCTGGATGCAGCCCTGGGGAATGTGCTCCAGGGTGTCCTGCTGCAGTGGGAGTTGGGCTGGATGATCTCTGGAGGTCCCTTCCAGCTCTGACAATTCCTTGATTCTTATTCCAGTTCTCCAGAGGGCTGCAATTTCCATCGCATCTCTAGCTTTACATCTCAAGTGACTTTGAAATAAAAACTCACCTTACACTGCACTTACCTTGGTTTTCTTCTTTCTCTCAGGTCTGATAAACTTTTATTGACCTCTCTGAAATAAGCAATTTCTAGGCACTGAGGATAAACTGATTTGTTCGCGTAACAGGTTCCATTCAGTGGATCTGGATCTCAACCTAGCTCACGTGGACAGCAGCCAGAAGAAGAGGAAAGCCAAAATATTTGGAAGTCTGGAACGAGGCCTGGATAAAGTGATCACGATGTTAACACCGAGCAAAAAGAAGCGATCTGCTAGAGACCAGCCAAGGAAGCTTAAGGTAGGGTTGCTGGAAAAGCCTTGCATGAAAAGAAGTGTCACTCTTGTGAAAACTCCTGTGAGGGGACCTGCCTGCATTCCACAGCCAAGAGCAGTTGCTCTTGCTGCATCTCTGTGAAGGTGGTAACACTGTGTACTCAGGCACGTCAGCACAGACCCAGGGAGAAGTCTGGCCATGGCTTTTTATATCACTCTGAACCAAGTGGGAGGGCAGCATGATGGTATTACGGGGACCCTAGCTGGAAACTTTTAATCTTGTTACTTGTGTTAGAGTAGTACTAGCTCTCCCACTAAAAATAAATGTGATGCCATTCCTGGCTTAGGTGTGTGGAGTCAGGAGATATACGTTTGTTCCAAGACAGTCTGTAGATGTCGAGAGAACCTGAGATTCAACTTTAACATCTACATCTTAGGAAAGAACTTCTGATACTGTCAGCATAATATTGATTTCTGAAATTATGGTGTCACTCTGCCTGAGCCAGTTGGCTACTGATTCTTCTTTAAGCAGCCACAGAAGAGCAGTTCCTCAGATATTGCATTGCACAGAGCACTTTAAAATCACAAGAATAACTTGTACCTCCCACAGTGAGGCTAATATTGGCTTCACAGACATCAAATGGTATTGGTGTAACACTACTGCAGTGAACAGAATTGTATAAATCACTCAAAAGCATCTAGGACACTTCAAAAGTTATTCAAGGAGGGATTTATGCCTGAATCTTTAGATTACATATTTGAAAAATCATGATTAATGTGAAAGGGAGGGGCAAGGCTGTTAGAGAAGCATAAACAGTTCCCTATAAACCAGTGGTATATTCGTGCAGTTTTTGGGACACCTGCTGCACAGGAATAATTGTGTGGAATGGTTGGGATTGGAGGGGACCTCTAAAGGTCACCTGGTCCAACCCGCCTGCAAGGAGCAGGGACATCTTCAACCAGATCAGGGTGCTCAGAGCCCTGCGAACCTGACCTTGAATGTTTCCAGCAGAGAAGAGCTGCCTGTCAGTAAAAGGACCACTTTGTGTTTTGCAGCCTGTGTAAATGGAATTCAGCTACTGTATTCCAGCTGGAAGCTTTTCCAAGAGACACTTGTCAGAGGCAAGGTGGCAGTCCTACAAGTTCAGGACTTCTGTTGGGCTACAGACCCCACCAACTCATCGAGCAGGAGTCCAGGCTGTGCAAATAATTCAGGAACCTGAGTGATTGGAAGCAAAAGCTAGACCTTCTGTCTCTAAAAGCCTTTGACCTTCTGCATCAGTTTCCCTTGTCCTTAGGGTGTGCAAAGTGACAGGGACACTGCAGCACAATAGGGGAAGACAGAGCTGTATTTCTCAGTGTTCCAGCAGTTGTTGCAGGGTGCTGCATGAGCTTTGGGCTGAGCAAGAGGCTCTGGCTACACACAGGTCTTATAATAGCTGCCCTGGCCCATCACTGCTCCTTTGGGTGGTATGATGGATCATAATTTGGACATGTTTTGGTATTAACTGTCCAGCAGTTGTTGTTTAGTGTTCCTGTTGCTACCACAATGTCTTAATTATTATAATATTGGGAAGTTGAAACATTTGTCACTATGGTTAGCTGTTCTGATGTTTGGGGTTTTTTTATGAAAGCTTTGCATAATGTCTTCAGTTTAGGGGGAAATTCTTTTCTTTTTCCCCTACACTCTTTTTTTTAACAACCTGCTACTTTTAGGCACACTATAATGTTACCACCACTCAGCTACTGAATCCAGACCAACTGGTGAATGAAATAATGACTGTTCTTTCCAAGAAGCATGTGGAATATATTCAGAGGGGGTAAGTGTATCATATGGTGACTTCAGCATGTATTTGTCTAAATAATCAGTGCTCCAATCTTTGCTAAAGCAACAAATTTAAACTGATTTTCTCAGCCCCACCTTGTAAAATGCAATAATTCTACAGAAGGTGAACAGAGCACCAGCCTCTTTTCTTGTGAAGTTGTAAATAGAAAAGGTTTGTTAGGGCACAGTAACATGACCAAACCAGAGGATGATGGGAGGTGACTGATGTCATCTACCTGGACCTGTGCAAAGCTTTGACACTTGTCCTGCATCACATCCTGGTCTCAAAACTGGATGGATATGGATTTGATGGATGGACCACTCAGCAGGTAAGGAACTGGCTGGATGGTCACACTCAGAGAGTAGTGATCAATGGCTCCATGTCCAGATGGAGAGCAGTGACCAGTGGTCAGTGCTGGGACCAGTGCTGTTCAACATCTTTGCTGGGGACATGGGCAGTGGGATCTCCACCCTCAGCAAGTTTACATCACACACAAAGTGGTTGATGTGGTTGACATGCTGGAGGGAAGGGATCCATCCAGAGGGACCTGGACAGGCTGGAGAGGTGGGCTTGTGCAAACAGCATGAAGTCCAGCAAGGCCAAGTGCAGGGTCCTGCCCCTGGGCCAGGGCACAAATCCAGGCTGAGGGAGCAAGGCTGGAGAGCAGCCCTGAGGAGAAGGAGCTGGGGTGTTGGTGATGAGCAACTCCCCATGGCCCCATGTGCTCAGAGCCCAGAGCCCACCCGTGTCCTGGGCTGCATCCCCAGCAGCGTGACCAGCAGGGCCAGGGAGGGGATTGTCCCCTCTGCTCTGCTCTGCTGAGACCCCCTGCAGGGCTGGGGCCAGGCTGGGGTCCCCAGCACAGGAGGGACATGGAGCTGTTGGAGAGAGGCCAGAGGAGGCCCCAGAGATGCTGGGAGGGCTGGAGCAGCTCTGCTCTGGAGCCAGGCTGGGAGAGTTGGGGTGTTGAGCCTGGAGAAGAGAAGGCTCCAGGGAGACCTGAGAGCAGCTTCCAGTGCCTGAAGGGGCTCCAGGAAAGCTGGGGAGGGGCTTGGGACAAGGGCAGGGAGGGATGGGAGCAGGGGGAAGGGTTTCCAGCTGGCAGAGGGAGCTGGAGCTGAGATGGGAGGGAGAAATTCTGTGCTGTGAGGGTGGGGAGAGCCTGGCCCAGGTTGCCCAGGGAAGCTGTGGCTGCCCCATCCCTGGCAGTGTTGAAGGGCAGGTTGGATGGGGCTTGGAGCAGCCTGGGCTGCTGGGAGGTGTCCCTGCCATGCAGGGGGTTGGATCTAGATCATCTTCCAAGTCCCTTCCAACCTAGTATGGGATGCTGTGATATGAAGTGGTACCTTTTGACCCTCATTCTTGCTGTTAAGATAGCATTAAGCCAAGACCTCAGTATATTCTAAAAGCTGCACAGGTCCCACCCAAACCTCCCTGGGCATTATCCTAATTAGTGGGATATACTAACTAAGCTAAGGTACTGAGGGCAGGATTGGTTTCTAGTTCTGATCAAACCTTACTGTCTGTTTCTCAGTTTCCCAATGCATGAAAGGAATGTCACTGATGAATATGCATGTTCTGAATTAAGGCATTGCAGAATGTCAGAGTGTACCTCAGCCTCTGATGCTTTTCCAAGCAGTAAATCCAGAAGGATGCTTCCTGCTCCAGAAGGACCCTCTCCCATTGCAGTGGTCTGAATGTCACATTCAGTTTTTCCACTCCTCACCAGAGCTGAGCAGTCACCAGCCTGTCAGCAGGGAGGACAGTGGTCTGGCTAAGGAAGGCTGTGGGAACACCTTCATCCTTCCAGCTCAGCACTCTGGGAATGTGTCTCTGTGTTCCTGTGTCTGGGTGGGATGTTGGTGCTTTGACACAGTGTTCTGGGGTGAAGCATTCAGAGCCCTCAGCTCACTGGGTTCTGTGTTGTGTCCCCAATATTCTGCATGGCAGCCGGATAATTTCTGTGAAGTGCTGGCATTAATTCCCAGTTACCTTGCACCAAAAGAAGACTGAGCGGTGCTTGTTCTTTGTTTTGTGCAGCTACACCCTGAAATGTCAAACAAGGTCAGATTTTGGCAAAGTAACGATGGAGTTTGAGTTGGAAGTTTGTCTCCTCAACAAACCGGACGTAGTTGGGATCCGGCGGCAGCGGCTGAAGGGGGATGCCTGGGTCTACAAGAGGCTGGGGGAGGAAAGCCTGTCCAGCTGCCAGGTCTGACTGCCCAGCAGCTGCTGAGGTGCTAACCAGGGGATAAGTAAAGCTGCCTCATGTTCACAACTGTGCTTGAATCATCCCTCCCCTTTCTTGGTTGTTTTGCTGTCCCTCTTTGTACATACTCCTTTTGTGTGTTGCCTTTGTTTTATTGAATGGTCTTCCACTGCGATTTATCTGAAATAAATTCTTTAAGCTGTTCCCTCTTGTGTATTTTTCATGTGTGGGGGTTAAGAAAGCTCTGGGGTTTGTGTACCCAAGCTTATTTTGGTGTGTCTTCAGTTATCAAGTACATGTGCTACAGAAGTAGTCATTTGCATAATTCTCTTCTTGTCTCTGCTTAAGTAGGATTTATTGAGATCATTAACTAAGTCACAGCTGTGGTTCCCTGAGTTGCACTGTATGCTCAGTGTTGTACAAAATAGGACTGTCTTCCATAAATGTGAAGTCAAGAGTCTTAGGATTTAAAGTGTGATCCCACCTAAAAAGTGGCTGGGTCTTGTCTTGTGTTCAGAGATCACCAGATGGTTGTGTGAGGGAGGTGTTTGTAGCCCTGGCTGTTTGCAGGGAGCTGGTGCCCCCTGGCAGAGCTGCCTGTGCTCCTGGAGCACCAGGAATGGCACCTGAAACGTGCCAGGGCAGAGAGGGGTTGGCACCTCAGGAGAAGGTCCCTGCTGTGTCCCAGGGACAGTGTCCACTCCCAGCCCCACCTGCAGGAACCAGGGGGGGTTCTTTGCCACAGCAGTG